GTTTGCATTTTATTGCAGTTTGTACACTAGAGACAATTGTTCATATATTGTTTTTATTATCTTTTACTTTCTCCTGTCCTTCCTTTTATTCCACTGCTCAGGAATAAATACGCCTTCCCCTCTGAGCCCTCTACAGATGTCCATCTGAACCGCCAGCCACACAAAATTGGGGTATTTGTGGACTTTGACAAAGGACAGGTGAGCCTGGTATATTGTAAGCTCATATTATATTTCTATCTAGAGGAGTTCTGTTTTTAAATAATTCCTTATGTCCTCCTTCTCTACAGGTATCCTTCTACAATGTTGATGCTAAAATCCACATCTACACTTTCAACGACACTTTCACTCAGCATATCTACCCTTTCTTCAGCCCTTGTACTAATAAATCAGGGAAGAATGACGGGCCGCTGGTCATCACACCAGTACAAATGACAGAGTGACAGAACAACCACTAAGTCATTTGTAGCTGCTTCTTCTCTTTCTGATACACAAGCCTGGGCACATGTTAATAGACTAATGTAGGTGAAACATTTTAATGTACTTTGAATAATTTGTTCATTTCTTAAAAATGAGGTTTTCTGATAAGCTGGACAAGTGTATGTGGTCTTAATGTTAGGATGAGCTTTGGAGGAATTAACTTCCTCTGTATTGTTGACAGATGCTACTCTTATAACTGCATGTTAAATATAAAGCTGTATATATATTAGATTAATTATGGCAAAGTAAACGTATAAATAAAAAACAAATCCACATAATGTGCATTCATTTCACTTTCTTAATGATTTGTCATTTAAGTGTCAATCTTCCTGTGCTGCACATTAGACACTTTCACTTTTTCAACTTCACAGAAAACTATGAAATCAGAACAAAATCACTTATGACAATTATTAAAACACACCTGAAGCCAAATGATGAACATTTCAACACTTCAACCAAAAAGCAGCCATGAGGAAATGGAGAATAAGTGTTACATACAAGTAATGCCTTATCAAACAGAGTGCATTTAGTTTATGACTTCACTGGCCGAGTAAAGTGCAAATCCAGGTTATTATATGAAGCCACACCCCTGTTATTCATCTAAAAAGCAGACCATCAATCTCTCAGAGGAAAAGTTTGCAGATCTTTTAAAAATGTTTAATATTTGAGTTGAAATATCGAAATTAAGTTCATCTTACATCCTTCCATGATTTCTGTACAAATGGATCTGGTTGGATCTTAGCAGGAGAACAGATGGAGAATTCTTTGTACAAGAAGCATGGAGGGATGTTAGATGAACTTTATTTAGATATACAATCACTTCTATAATTATTAAAACCTGAACCCACTGACAGTCATTTCTAGTAATTGTCCATGAAATGTGCCAAATTTTGAAAATTTCCAAGTCGTGTTTAATGTATCTAGGAGCTGCTGCGGTCAATGCGATCCTGCTCCATCTGAGACTTCGCCTTTTCTTTCTGCAGGAGAATGTGCTCTGCAAACTCCCTAACAGCTCCCTTTCCTCCAACACTGTGGCAGGTGTATTTTGCAGCATTAATGGCTACCACAGGAGCATCTCCAGGTACTGCACTCAGACCTGCCTGGTTCAGACAGTTGATGTCGGCTTTATCATTACCTGAGAAGAAGAGAAATGAAAAGGGAAGACAGAAATCAACATCAACTATGAAGCCTGCAAAAAAAAAAAAAACTACATATCATTTACATAAACATTAAGACAGGCCACATAAAAGGTAAGGGTTGTGCTTTACCAGAGGCGTTTTTCAAACATCCTGTTCTACTGCTTTCAAGAGAAAAAGACTGTAAGGGTAGTTACTAAGTGGTTGGTTTTGCATTTGTGTTTTCAGCTTGTTTGCCCATCTCCATTACAACGTTGTGTCCTGACTGTTTCTGCGAGATGCATCCAGGACAGTCTGTCTTAATATGAAAATCACCATGAGTTGCAGCCTTTAAGTGCCCCAAAAATGTTCTTGGATCGATGGTGTATATTCTTGGTGTATTTTGGTTGATTTGACAACTTTGATTGGCGGTCCAATGCTGTCGCCCACCTTCTTGTCACTAAAGCTCAGAATCTGGTTGCAAAATACCAAGATGGCAGGCGTAATCCACTGACTGGAACAGTGTTTCAATAAACTACTTGAAACAGTAAACTGCTGTTTTATTAATTTTCATTCATTCATTTTCTACTGCTTAGTCCCTGAACGAGGTCACGGGGGGCAGGGGGGGGCCGGAGCCAATCCAGAAACTGGGGGATAAAATGTCATGAAAATTACATTAAGTATGTTTTAAACTGTGCTCTAATCAATATATTAACCAACGTATATTATTCAATGGATTGTAAACTTTCAGAACAGATCACAGGGACCTGTGAGACACTGCTGGTGTGAACTGAAGAACATGTTCTATCTCTGTTTTTGTACTTTGTGCGTTGTTATATGTTCAACCAGATGGCCCCCAAGACTTAAGTGAGCCAGCCATAAACTGTTCTGGCCATGTATTGTGGAGATAAACAGACAACAGATCGTGTAGTGTCTTAGGGGTCATCAGGGCAAAACCCTCTCAAGTTCACTTTCCCTCTGCAAATCTTTTTTACAACCTGATTAACGCCTGGGATGTGTCTCTAGGGAGTTCCCTTTGTCCTATATATTGTGATGTTTAGACTAAACTCATTCAGACAACTCTGTATGCCTGTGCTGACTTGTCTCCTTGCTGCAAGTAAACCAATCTCTTATTGAAAGATTCCAGTTACTTCATTGCTTCTTTGTAAATTCTTTTGACAGAAAAGAAGACAGAAATGGAATAAACAAACACCAGCATGTACACAGGGTCTTGTCTAAAGCCTCTACTGTCAGTAATCTAGCTGGACATGGCTGTTTTCTAATGCAGAGAATGTGTTTTATTTAACCTGAGAACCCTCCGTTCTGCCACAGGCCAGTCGATGTCCACGTCAATGTCCACACTGTGTTCTGGCGGCATCTCATAGTAGGCTACCTTACCACTCTGTAGAGGGGGATGTGGGGTAAATGTAAAGACTGCACAATTAAAAATATAAAATCACCCCAACAGAAACTGCAACACTAAGTGCAAATCTGCAAAATAATGAATGAAACCAGAATTAAAATTGAAAAATGTTGAGTTAGCACTTTTCAAATTTACATGTCACAGGTTGTCACTGGTTACATGTAACTAGTGGAGGCACATAACAACCCTGTCACTTTTAAGAGACGTGAAACTAAGAAACATAAAAAAAAATAAAAAATACTGCAATTAATTTTGCTGAATAAGTACCTGTGGGGATCCGTTCATTATGAGGTCTCTGGTGGTGAAATAAAAAGAGCCGTTCTCACACAGCTCTCCATCCCAGTCCTGACGTCGCGGCCGGTGGGCTGGGTCCAAATTGAGTGGCTTGGTAAACTCACCGGCTAGAAGAAGGCAGGGTTACAGATTAAAGGACCAGTCAACTACACAGCATCATCAACTGTCATTTTGAACTGGGTCTGATACCGCCCTCTAATACTCATACTTATAACTATATTAACACCCATAAAGACACAAAACCAACACTGAATTGCCTCTACTCACGGTTAATTTCCGTCAGTGTGAAACACACTGTTGGGTGACATATTCCTTCATTAGCAAACCTCAGATCTGAGCATGAGGAGCTAGCAGAATGCAAACAAAGCTGAGAGCTCACACAATATCTCATGCATGCGCAGCTGACTCTGACTTGTGCTGACCTCAGCCTGTACGGCAACATAGACGGGTCTAGGGTTTCATAATGAAAAAACATATTACCCAGTGCATCGGTGTGTTTTTAATCATTTTTGAACAACAATGGCAATATACAGCACAGATGAACAAGCTAATTCAGGACTAACAGCTGACAGACATTAACTGTGAGTACAGGCAATTCATTGTCGGTTTTAGTTTCTGTATGGCCACTGTTGAAAATACTATTAATATAGAAAATGACCAGCCTTATCCTTTTAAGCATTTCTGCACTGACTACACTCAGTAGCCATTTCACTAAGAGTGATCAACCAACGTCGAGTAGCTCTACAATAGCTCACTCCTCTCTCATGCTCCTGCCTCTTCACTACTCCTCATTATAACATGCAGCAACCTGCTTCAATGCTATTGTCAGCATGCAGAATCAACAAAAGTCCCTAGCCAATTTTAGAGCTGGGATATAGTGGTTCAAGGTACAGTAGGGGGGCAAAATTAACCTGAACTTAAAGGATTTACTGCTGTGAGAAAAACAATAATCTATATTTCCAAAAAAAGACCTACACAATTTGGCATTAATTATAAGGTAAATGAAGAACAGCTTAGTTTTCATTTCTGCAGTTATTAAGTACTTGCTCCTTATATTATAGTTCTTAAAAAAAAACTAGGAAATTATGTAGTAGGTGAAGTTAAGTGAATATTTAACAATTATCAAACAGCTTTCAGTTACAGTTTCCAGTAAATTACCAGGAAAGTACAGGATCCATAAAATAAAATGTTTATAGTGTAACCTACATCATCTAGAACTGTAAAAAATTACACACAAAAGGGTGACTAGATCCTGGACTATTTTCAGTGCACTGTAACAACAGTCTTATGTGTTGACTTACATCCTTTTTTGACCTCCTTCCAACGGAAATGGTGTCTCCTGACCACCGAGAAGACTGAATCATAGCCCTGCTGCAGGATCATCTGTAGGGCCTCCTTCACATGCTTTGGATGGAGACATGGAGACGTAGCCTGAATGTGACATATCACATCCACGTCTATGAAAACAAAGTCAACAAAGGATGTATTTAAAGTCAAATGGCTGCTCTGTCAGTAATTAAACAGAAACATAGCAGAGCTAAGACCACACGGTGGCAGCCAGCCAGTTTACACATCCTGCAGTGCCATACATACGCGGATTGAGCCTGGCAAACTCTTGAATAGCTTCCAATGATGTGGAAGCATCTCTGGAGAATTCAGGACTTCTGCGATGCACTCGGGCACCCCAGGATTTGGCCACCTTCTCGATCTCATCATGGTCCGTCGATACCCACATGCTAGGAAAATGCAGATGTTACCTATTATCGCCCACCTAAGTTCAATAAGGATTTTATATGTGATTTTTCCGAATTCTGACCAGGTTTTAATTATTTGGAGATTTTAATATCCATGTTTGTTGTCCTGACAAACCTTTAGTTAAGGCTTTTTTAGATCTTATTGATTCTTTTAATCTTACACAATTTGTGGCTGGTCCCACCCATGAGCATGGGCACACCTTGGATCTTGTCCTGTCTTATGGTGTGCCAGTTCATGAATTAGAAATCTGTGATGCTGTGTTCTCTGATCATTTGCCTGTGTTATTTGAGATTGATTTTATTTGTGATACAACTGCACCTTGTGCTACTCCGTGGCTTTGCCGTACGTTTAATTCTTCCACTTCTGTTCAGTTCTCTGCTATCTTTAGTGAAAATCTTGTAATTTCTGACTCTGCGGACACAGAGGAGTTTGCATTAGATTTTCACTCTACTTGTCAGGCTACCTTTGATGCGGTGGCACCACTGAAGGTTATTAACCAAACCATTTTTTGTAGTGTGCAGGGGGAACGACAAGGTTAATAATGATAATAATAATAATAATAATCTTTATTTGTACCGCACTTTTCAGCTCAAGAGCACAAAGTGCTACAACAATAAAAACATAGTAATACAATATCAGTTAAGAACACTCATAGGCAGACAGAAGCCAAATAGACATCCGTCTGATATAGGCCAACTACTACCTGGCCGGCTCTCCCACCGGGGGCTCAACCGTGGTGGCCCAGAGGACCAATACACACCCTAACATATTAAAACTAGTTAAAAAAATAAATTATTAAAGGTGACGAAAATCAGTGAACAGCTAAACATTAAAAGCTTGCTTAAAAAGATGCGTTTTTAACGCTGACTTAAAGGACTTAAACGCTGCCGGCTCAGTTATCGAGCGTATATCTAAAGGCAGGGAATTCCACAGCCTAGGGCCATGCACGGCAAAGGCGCGACCTCCACATTTTTTGTAGTGTGCAGAGGGAACGACAAGAGCAAGGTGACTCGATGATCACAGGGCTCTGCGAGGGACATATCTAGCCAAGAGGTCGGACAGGTACTGAGGGGCAAGGCCGTGCATGGCTTTAAAAACAAAAAGCAAAACCTTAAAATCTACTCTCCATTTAACGGGCAGCCAGTGAAGAGACAGCAGAACCGGAGTGATATGGGCATGCCAACGAGTGTTTGTCAGCAGACGGGCAGCTGCGTTCTGAACAAGTTGGAGCCTGGAGAGTGATGACTGGGATAACCCGGAGTACAGGGCATTACAATAGTCAAGCCAGGAAGTCAAACC